AGAAGTATATACCCTTTGAAGCCATTAACCACAGCGAACATTCATAGCCAAATTCTACTCTCTGATTCACTTACCACTCTTCCAAATAAAAACAAACACTATGAACCTGGAATTGGTTCATTTTGATATCAATATAAAAAATACACAATTATTTTACCTATTTTAACTTTGGCATAGATTTTTTTTTAAAAATAATATAACTAAACATAATCCTTCAATAAACTGAATTAATGTAGAATTTTTCATGTTTAGAAAAAGTACAACAATACGTGGTCGCGGAATCCTGGGAATAAGAACCTTCTGATATTTAGGGGCGTGCAAAAAAAATATGAGGTTGCATGCGTAAGGGTACACCCTCCCATGAATGATTTATATTTCTCACCGACCACACGAAATACGCCTAAGAATGAAGTGTATATGATAATAACATAACCTATTTCGGTAAACTTATATCAGACGGCCGAAATAGGATGAGTAGCCTTCTATGTGTATGCATATTATATCATTAAATCAAAAGTTTGTACAGTCATGAAAAATAGATGTTGAAATTTTTTTTTTCCAAACATGAATAATATAATGATAAATGCTTGTTACAATAATGCCTTAAAGTGCAGTTTAAGAGTTTTGACACATTGAGGACACATTTACTGAATTACACCCTTGTCACGAAACTCAGGGGGGGGGGGGGGGGGGGACTATTGAATACGATTTTCTTTGACATAGTAGCATTCAATTTTTTTCCAAAGATACAGTTCAAGGGAGACAATAAGGAGTGGGTACATATTTATGGGGATAACAATATATTATTTAAACAATGAATTGGAAACATTTTGATTAAAAAACTTCGAAGATGGCAATGAACGAGAGTGGTCATATTTTTTGTGTTGTTTAAAACATCTAAAAACATAAACATTTTACAGTTGCTCAAATGTAATCTTTAGAAATTATATTTTTAAAATTGTTATAATAAATAAACCTAAGTTCAGGGCGTGAACAAAGATGAGTTAAGATTTTATTAAAAAATTGGGGAATATATTTTTTTTTCCATTTTGGAGCAACATGCAGTTTAGGATTATGGTAATTTTTTTATTAGATGAGGAATTTTTCTTAGAAAAACACAAAAGACTGTTCAATTGTCCAATGACATAGATCAGGAGCGAATTTGATTTTGAGCACATTGTTCAGGACGGTACCAAAATATTAAAACCTGTTAATGCTTGAGAATATTTAAAATGCTACCTAACTTAATTTAAAGTTAAGGACATATTGTTATTTTTTGTTTGTTTGTTTTGTTTTTTTTGTTTGTTTTTCCAATTCGTAGGACATTAGTTTTCTTAGTAGTTCAGAGGACTAACACATGTTTGGGTTGACCTATACCATTTTAAGACAATAACAATCAAAGCACTGCTGTGTGGAAACGTAAATATCTATAATGGATTCTTTTATTTTAAATTAAGAAATGTTTAATCGCCTATTTGCTAAATATACTATACAAGGCCGATGATTTTTATCGTATTTTTTGTTTGTGTTTACAATACATCAAAGCTCGACACACTTACGTTGGTAAAATTTGGATTTTTTGATGGTGAGACGTCACAAGAACATATGGAAAGTAAAGTATGCCTTTCAATGTTATCCCGATACACAGCGTTGTGTGTTCTAGTCTTATATAGATGAATAATTATGACATTATAATACATTTTATTTGATTTCTCAGAGTTCGTTCTATTATATCAATGGATCTTGCTCCCCACTAATCCACGAATACTGTGTAATCTTGGCCTTCACTGATCCATGTCTCGTGTGATATCTTGGTCTTCACTAATCCATGTCTATCTAGTGTGTTATCTTGGTCTTGACTGATCCATGTCTAGTGTGTTGTGTTGGTCTTCAGTGATCCACGGCTATTGTGTAATCTTGGTCTTCACTGTTATAAATGTTACTTTGGGTTGGATACGTAACTTGCTGAAAGAGTTTAAAATTGAAATCTATGCTGCATTTACTTACAAATGTATCTTTTTGAATGGTAACAGTCAGATTTATCATTTAATTTATGTAATCGCCAAAAGACTGAGTACATGACATTTAATTAATATTAGCTGACAGTTTAGTTGTTCATTCCATGGAGGATATAGCTGGCATAATTTCCTAAATTAAACGACATATACATTAGTTTAACATATTCAGAAAAAAATCAATTAACCAGCAGTCTTATCTCCATATTCCACGCAATCAATTATCCAGTGGTTTTAATCTTGTCTGAACTGGTCTTGAATATTCCAAGGCCTTAGTTAACTTTAAATACAGACATTTATGGTGTATTTCTGGAGTGTTGTAAAACAGAGTAGCATGCATTAGGGCAGGGGCGGGCAAACTGCAACTGATATTATGCGGCCCTCGAAGGAATTTAGATTTTTTTTTAAAAATCCTTATTTTTAAAGTTTTTTTTTTTTTTTTTTTAAATATACAGAATTTCATGTTTTCCTATGATTGTTTTAACATTTTTGATCAAATTTCTTTCTCATTTTATTAAAAAAAATTTTTTTTAAAAATTTATAATTTTTTTTAAAAAATCCTTATTTTTAAAGTTTTTTTTTTTTTTTTTTTAAATATACAGAATTTCATGTATTCCTATGATTGTTTTAACATTTTTGATCAAATTTCTTTCTCATTTTATTTAAAAAAATTTTTTTTTTTAAATCCTTGCCTTTTGTCATGCAATGTTAAAATGCGAATTTACCGATTTTAATATAAAGAAATGTTTATCGACATGTAAAAATTGGACATGATGCACATGCGGCCTCCCAATAACTTTACCTGTGTTAATGTGGCCTCCGCATAAAAAAATCACCCACCCCTGCAATAAGGAATCTCCCACTTTTTCAACTTCCAGGTCTTCCTGATACATGTAATATTGTTCTAAACGTGTTGGTTAATTAGGGCTCATTCAAACAGACCCATACTTTTTTTTCCCGGTATGGCAACCTGAATCATCCTAGTCTCCCACAATCTAAGGTTTAAAATATCTTAAAAATCAATCAAATTGTGTCAATCAATATGAGTTACGTCTGCTTAAAAATAAAAAAAAACTATTCTCGGGTTAAAATAACAATTACAGTTAGTTCACCTTCAAAACACTGCCACAGTTTGGCTTAGTAAATATTGTTCGGATTCTGATACCATTTATTTAAGATATGTTAAACCCTGAAAGGTGGGGATTAACGTGACTATTAAGAAATGTTAAACCCTGAATGGTAGGTCACTAAGGTGTCTATTAAGATCTTTTAAACCCTGAATGGTGAGTGGCTAAGGTGACTATTAAGATATTAGAGCCAGAATGGTGGGTGACTAAGATGAACAATAAGATAGGCTTACTGAAAGCATTGGATAGTGAGTGACTAAGGTGAATATTAAGATATGCTAAGGCATTTATGGTTGGTGACTACGACAAACAATAAGATAGGCTTACTGAAAGCACTGAATATTGAGTGAATAACGTGACTATTAAGATATGCTAAGGCCTGGATGGTGGGTGACTAAGACGAACAATAAGATAGGCTTACTGAAAGCACCGAATGTTGAGTGAAAAAGGTGACTATTAAGATATGTCAAGGCCTGGATGGTGGGTGACTAAGACAAACAATAAGATAGGCTTACTGAAAGCACCGAATGAAGAGTGAATAAGGTGACTATTAAGATATGGTAAGGCATGGATGGTGGGTGACTAAGACGAACAATAGGATTGGCTTACTGAAAGCACTGAATGCTGAGTGACTAATGTGACTATTAAGATATGCTAAGGCCTGGATGGTGGGTGACTAAGACGAACAATAAGATAGGCTTACTGAAAGCACTGAATGAAGAGTGACTAAGAAAGTATTTCTGAATTATATTTATACATACCCAAAGGGATCGTTGGCTCATCCTTCACCTCGTGGCCATTGGCGTTTTTGCGTTTATCACCAGCAGTGTTATTATTCTTATTGTCGTCGTTGGTGTTGACCTTCGTGTGACCTTCGTTTGAACTTCCTAAGACCTTCGTATGTTTGACTATGACGGTCGCGTTTTTCATAACATCTTGAGGCACCTCTTGGTGACGACTCCTCCTGATTATGACGACCACGACGGCGACGCCGATACAAACAGCAATGAGTAGAGTCAGTCCCACTCCAAGTCCTACGCCCAGCTCGTAATAGTCAGTGGAAGATTCTTCTAAGAATTTTTTTTATTTTTTTAAATCCAGTTTGAAATATTTGACAATTTCAAAAATGAGAAGTTTGAGATTAAATGTATCAGATTAAAAAATCACATTTTATTGTTTAATAAAGATCATTAAAAGCAGTTGGGAAATATGTTTGGTTTGCATTATTTGTGAGATCAGTCAACACGCGTTTAAAACAAGGACGAGAGATACATTTTAGCAAGAAATCTAATAGTTCAGAGAAAATCAATCCAACCAAGTGTCAGAACGTTGGGTCCTGGTAAATGAGAGTGGAAGAGACGTTTTGCTCTTGCTTGTTCTTGTAAATTTTTTTTACAGATTGGTATGGGGTGGGGGTGGTTTGTTGGGAAGACATGAACAAGATGGACTTGTATTTGTGAAATGTAGTGACCGAAATATTTTTGATTAGAGATTATGGACATGAAGTCCATGTTTACACATTGAAATCAATATATGGGAGTTAGCGAGACTTTACTACATGTCTTAAAATTTTAAGTCTATTAGTCTTTGCAATCAGCTCAACGTAATGTTTTAAAGTATGTTTAAAAAAAAAACTAATTGAATCATTAATCCAGAAAATATAATCCAGAGACGATAAGAGTGCTTTTTAAAATAAGTTACACTAACAGTCCCATCTACTGCAAAATGTTGTTTTTTTTCAACCTAGCGGATATAAAGATCACACTTTATAATACATTTATAAAAAAAAAAGTTCTTTAACGTCATGTATTTCTTTTGTAAAATACTTGAAATTGTTTCACGCATTGCAAAGTTTATTCTAAAACAACGACAACAAAATGTTACCTTCATCACACCTGTCCCCGGTGTAACCACCTTGACAACCAGAGTCACAGCTGCCATTGAATCTGTCACACGTCTTGTTGACACAATTGTCACTGCAAGGGTTGACACAATTTTCCCCCCAAGTTTTTAAAGAACAGCCTGAGGATACGGTTACAGTGAACACAATTAGGACAATAGTAGCTTTATTAAAAAAAAAGATTATCATTAAAAAAAACGGATGTTAAGTCTATTATTAAGTCATCATTAAAACATTAGGTATAATTTTAGACCAAAAACCCCAAACAGTTACGTATAAACTTAATCATTGATTGATTACAAAAAAAAAAAGATTATCATTAAAAAAAACGGATGTTAAGTCTATTATTAAGTCATCATTAAAACATTAGGTCTAATTTTAGACCAAAAACCCCAAACAGTTACGTATAAACTTAATCATTGATTGATTACAAAAAAAAATATTGGCATCATCACATTTATTTATTTTTAAAACACAAATAATGATGATTGATAAAAGGAAATCACGTCATAATGATTGATCCAGAGAAATCATGTAAGGCAAATTATTTATTCATGATTGTTTCAAAGAATTTACGCAATTATTTTTTTTAAAAACATGTCACTGAAAACACTTTCATAAAGTCCCTTGTAAGTAATTGTCTGAAATGCAACTTATTATAACATAATAACATCAGTGAAATAATTACTTAACTTTCTAACATGTTACTCATTACATCACTTTTAAAATTTTGACGACATAATTTTCGTCTTACGCCCCAATTTGTTCAACAAACTTTAAACGATGGGGCTATACTTACTGTCAGAGCAGGTGTGTCCCATGTAACCAGCATGACACCCATTGTCACAAGTTCCGTTTCTGTTATCACACGTTTGATTGACACAATTGGTACTGCAGTCTTCTCTGCATGTGTCGCCCCATTTAAAGACAGGGCACTCTGCACAAAATAACATTGGGATTGTTTTTATAAGAATGGAACACATTACAAAAATGATCCAGAATACAATCAGTGTCATAATAAACATCAATATTATACTTAAAATGATTCTCGTGAAATAATATTAATTTAAATATTTTCTAAAATGCTTGAAAAGATGACGAGATGAAAAGATAACAAGGGGACAGAAGGACACGATCACAAAAGGACAAGATGACAGGAAAACAGGATGACAGGATATCAGGATGACCAGATGAAAGAATGACGATGTGACAAGAAAACATAATGACCAGATGACACGATAAATATAGGACAGGAGGATCAGAAAATGGGATGACAATATGACCTGATGACCAGATGACAGAATGACAAGAAGACATGATGATCAGATGATAGGATGCAGGATGCCTAGATGACATGAAAACCAGATGACATGATGACAAGTTAACAGGATGACAAGATAACTGGATGACATGATAGACAGATGACAGAATGACAAGATGCCATTCTGACACATTTGACAAACTCATCTTCAATTTTTCGCAGTAGACAAATGTTTCAACAATGTACATCTAATAGAGGATTATGCTCATTCCTTATGCACAACAATCCAGAAACCCACGCTGCCAATCATGTCATATTAAAATTGTAAAGGAAGTGTAACCAGTATTCCAATACGATCTATAAAGAACTGCAACTGTTGGAATTTTTTATACATACGTTGTGTACAGTCGTCTCCCGTGTACCCACTGTTACAACCGAATGTACAGAGGCCGTCAATGTTGCTGCACGTGCCTCTGACACAGTTCTCACTACACTTGTTGGAGCAGTTTTGACCCCATGTGGAGCCAGAGCATGCTGTTAAGATTTAAAAATGTGTATTTCCTATTTCTTAATCAATATCGCAAGGGTTGAATGGTAAATACATACATCTTCAGATAGAAGATTTAAAGCTAAATAAGAATGCAAATGGTAAAAAAATGTTTAGTATTTGTTTTTAACCTATTGAACAGGATAAAGAAAATTTATATGTAAACTTGAGTAAATATCTGTTAAATAAATATCAGAGATACCGATTTTTTTTTAAAATCATAGTTTAAAAAAAAAAATAAATAAATCTACGAATAACCTAATGGAACAAAAAAATACATTAAATTCTGCTAATTTTTTTCCGAATATTACAACTCTTTTTAATAGAGCAACATTTTTTTTTTGATTACTGACCGTTATCACATTTGTCTTTAACAAAGCCAATCTCACAGCCCAGGTCACAGACGCCGTTTGTTCTGTTGCACTTGAGATTGACACAGTGGACGCTGCAAGTGTTGAGGCAGTCCAAGCCCCATTGTAATGACGGGCAACCTGAAAATACAAGCTTCTTGTTGTATGGAACATATATAAATAATTGATAAAAATGTTGAACAAAAAATTAAATGTAGTACATATTGTTAGCTCGTTTGTTTTTTTTCATAATTGGGGGCCCACGATCAATGTATTGCTCATTTCGGCGCCGGGTTTGAATTCATAGTTAGCCTTCTCTTAGATGAGTCGCCTTCCTAGGCAAACGAGTCCGATCCACTCGGGGTTTTACATGTGTGTATACCATACAAGTTGGAAACTTAATTTTATGTCTTTTAAATGGTCCACATAAAGATGAGATGTATGCTTCTTGACACACACAAATAATGACATCATACATAAAAACAAACGGTATGTTACACATAGTGTGTTACGTGTTTCAGTCTGGTAAAGCAAACAGTCTTTCGCATTTATGTATTCACTAAACTAAAATAAGTCAATGCATTAGCTGATGCCTCTACTTTGACCTATCTTTTAAAAGTATCCAAACATGCATTTCAATCAGGGAATGTGACTCCCATAAGGAAAACTCTATCAAAGCCATGTAACATAGTAGTTTCATTGGAAATGCCCATAAGACACTGTTTGGAGGGCAGATAGAATAGCATTACTTTATATTAATTTTATAGTACTTTGTTTTACTGCTGTATGTAAACAGGGGAATGATGTGCTACAATATTAACACACACACGCACACACACATATAAACAAAACAACAACAAGGCAGCAATCATTTTATCTGTACACAAAGAAAGCATTTACTTCTAATTTAAACTGTTCACATGTTTAATTCCATTACATTAACTTCGATTTTATGGATTTCTTTTTAGTCGAAATTTAGGCAGGCTTATTGCCCTTTTTCCGTAATTCAATCGTGCTGAAATTTGTCATATAGACTCGTTGCCCATAAAAACAATTTTATCAAACTGTAAATAGTACCCCTACCCCAACGCACAGAAATCAGTACTTTATTTTTTTTTCTGGGCTTTGTACTTGTGCCGTTTTTTTTTTTATGTATGGGGATGACTTTGAGTGCAATCAAAATGCCTACAAAATATTAATACGAAAATGTTCTGTTTTTGGGGTTTGTTTACTACCCCTTTTGTTTTATCTAATAATCGTGCCATTAAAACAATTTGAGTGAGGGAAATCTATTGTAATGCAATTGAGTGGGATATTATATTTTTAAAACTTTGTTGTGGAAAGTCACTTTTCGTCATTTGCTAATAGCCGAGGTCATCATGAAATCTTCATTAGTCTGTTTGATATAGCCAGTTTAATATGGTACATTTTGCGTCCAGGCTGTGTGTTAAATTATTTTCGCAAAATCCAGGTATCTCTCCCCCCCCCCCAGTTTAACATTGTAACCACTTGTTTTGAGTTCAACAGGAGGTGCCATTTAATGCATGCATTTAGCTTCCCGTCCCTGCCCTCCACATCTAACACTTCTGTAAACAACCGAAATTAACACTTGCCAAACTAACACAACTCAAACTGATACTTGCAAACTAACACAACTCAAACTTATACTTGCAAACTATCACAATTACAACTGATACTTGCAAACTATCACAATTACAACTGATACTTGCAAACTAACACAACTCCAACTGATACTTGCAAACTAACACAACTCCAACTGATACTTGCAAACTAACACAACTCCAACTGATACTTGCATACTAACACAACTCAAACTGATACTTGCAAACTAACACAACTCCAACTGATACTTGCATACTAACACAACTCAAACTTATACTTGCAAACTAACACAACTCAAATTGATACTTGCATATTAACACAACTCCAACTGATACTTGCAAACTAACACAAGTCCAACTTATACTTGCAAACTAACACAACTCAAATTAATTCCCATATTTGAAACAATATCCGAAAGAAGGAAAAAGCTTTGTTACAGACAAATTTGATTAAACAACAAAAAAACTCGGACCTAGACATTCAAGGCTGAAAACATTTGTGCAAAGTTTTTTAAAAAAACACACCATCTTTCCATGTAACTGGAGTAATAAAATCATCTTATCTTATCATATCCAATATCCAATCGTATCTTATCTTATCTTATTAAGCCAATGAAATAAAAATCTTTTTAGATTACATTCCACATAACGAAACTCTCTAAATTAGTGTTGTTCCCTCCAAATTTGTATGCTTCTAGTTGTCTGGTTAACTGTAATTTTCATTTCCTTTGTCACAAGAGCAAAAAAAAAAAGACAGATCCAATCTGCCGTTGTTTCCAACTAGTAAACCCCATTTCATGTAAGGTGAACTATCAAATGATTTGTGTTACAGTAATTTGACATCAAAGATCACAGTAGTTACGACACATTTTTGACATACAAAGAAACTATCTTTAATAGTACTATGGACGTATAATATGTAGGCTTTAATTTCTACTTACTGGTTTGACAATCTTCCCCGTAGAAGCCGGCAGCACAGCCAGACGGACACCCTCCAGTAGCCACACGACACGTCTCTGTTTTATTCTCACAGTTACATGACTTGTTACACCCGAGGCCGTATTTGTTGTGGTCACACACCGTTTCTGGGGGTAGATTGTTCTTTTAATTTACATTAATGATAAAACGTCGAGGCTAGTTAATGTAAAAATGATTCTACAGCTCAACACAAATGATTATTCGATTTATAGTGAAGCATAATAGCTTTAAGTCCAACGCCTAATTCATTTTCTTTAACAATTAGAAAACATTTATCCATTTTACTTTAGAAAACAAAATTTAGTGTCCATAATACGTTAGTGTGGGGTTTTTTTTTCGAAAAGACAATGACATTTAATTACAAATTTAATACAGATTTTCCAAGTAAAATTGGATTTGTGTTTTCTCCGAGGGAAATAAATTAAAAGCAAAACAATGCCGCATTTCGGATAGATGCTTATCGTTGCTAGGATATATTTAACCCTTTTTCTGCATTGTTAAATATGTATTTTCTTTTTCCTATCAAAAGTTAGAATCAGAAATTATTCATGAATTTTAAAAATTATTCATTTCTGTCTGATTCTCCATGATAAATTATACTTTTTTGTTTAAAAAAGTATTTTAAGGAGTGCATACTTTTCTTGTTAACGTTTCCTCTCCCAATTACTTGACCTTGCATCAAATCCCATTAAAGCTACTTTACAACATTCGCGTTAATTTGAACTTATTTCAATAGCAACGCTACTTATAACTTGCATTATATGATACATAATCCTCAATGAAAAAAACAACAAAAAAATAGTCTTACTAGCATGCATGGTATACATTATTTTACCTCCATATATCAACATTAAAAACATAATGTACCTCCACAAATCAACACATTACCACAGGTTTAAATACAATACGCCTTCATTTAACAACGTAATTTATCCCCAAACATTTCAATTTGACTACACAATTAACCTCATGTAGCACTACATTACCACATAATATACTTACGGGCATATGCATTTATCAATATAAAATACTTACAAACGTCTGCATTTATCAATATAAAATACTCCCAAAAATCTCAATTTATCACCATAACATTTCTGCATATATCTCTGCATAACAAAATCCTTTACCTCCAATCATCTCCATTTATCAATATAAAATACATCAAAAATCTCCTTTTTCAAAATAAATTACCTCCAAACATCTCCATTTATCAAAATAAAATACATACAAAATCTCCATGTATCAACCTTAAACTATCTCCAAACATCTCCTTTTATCAACATAAAATGCTGCCACAATCTCCGTGTATCGACATAAAATATCTCCAAACATCTCCATGTATCAACAAAAAATACCTCCATACATCTCCACTTCACACAATGTTAGGATCTTGTCTCTGGAGCTCGTGTATATTTTCACAAATGAAACATCGTGTGGCATGGCAATCACTGTATACACAGATCTGCTTGGTTTTTGAAAGGTGTAATCGAATACAGAAGTATCGTTTGTGCTAAAACTTGACACATTAAAGTCTATGAGACGATCTTGGACTGAAAGAAATAATTTTTTTTAAAAATCATGTTAATCACTGTGTTATTCATTTCTTCCGTCCGCCAGTCTGTCTATGAGTTTATCTAACTTTTGACAAATTTTGGAGCTGACAAATAATCGTTTCATTCCAATTTATAATTATATATTCTAAGCTTAACTTATCAACCCGACACTTCTGTGGACTTAGTCATTTATTTATGAACTGTGGTACCATCTGAAAGTAAGGAGTTTCTGGAATCTTAAATAGGATGCCCATTCCGCCCTTTGCACACATTAAAAGCTGACTTGTTTTTAGCCACTTTCAGTCAACCCATCGAGCTGAAACTTGGCACATGGATTATGGATTTGTTGCCGAGGACTAAATAGTCTATTAAATTTTCAGCTATAGACAACAACCCACCCCCCCCCACACACACACACAAAATAAATAATTAATTCGTGTTTTCGTATTTTTTAATGGTTAGGTGAAGTAAATATGATGACAGCGCGAAATGAGATTGTTTTTAAAAATAACTGTCGCTAGTGTTTTTTTTTTAAAATAACTGTTGAAAAAATGTATGCGGTGTTCAAGTGGGTGGGTCATTAGAATAGTAATATAGTTCAGTTGCGTGAAAAAAATGGTGTGGTTGCAAGCCTTGTGGGCGGGAGGAGAGGGATCAAATAATTGGGATTTTCATAAATTGTGATACTCGTCACATAATTTGTGAAATGTTCAGCCCTATCATTCATTGTTCGACATCACATTCTATGAAGAATTTATAGGAAAAATATATAAAACAAGTGTTTAAGGATTGACGTTTTAAACGTAGAGAAAACTTTGACTGGTTATTCCTTTACTTTATATAATTTTTCAAGTTTTTTTTTCTTTAAATTTTAATAAATAAATGAAAAATAAATATTTCAACATCTTACGTGAATCTCTGTTGTAAATGACATATTTATGGATGCGCTGCATTTTGGAGAACGTCACATTCCAATTTGGCGAGGGATCGTTTACTCCTGTGTGGGTGCAACTACCTGATGAGAACCGTCCATCTGTGTTACCGTCTACAGCATTGCTAGCTCTCGCAGCTGCTTCTTCAGTGTACGTGGTAGACTGCAAGGCGCTTCGTCCCAAGGCTACATTTCGACCTAATTTGGATAGTTTATACTGTCCTTACGCCATATTATATTCCATCTGTCACTTTTTAATTTGTATTACCGCTTTGAATTTTTTATATTTTTTTTACAATTTAAACATAAATTAATCATGATTTTTAAATGAATTCCATCAGTTAAGGAACGCAATTAATTCTCTTTGGACCAATAATGTAATACTCTATATATAATGTAATAATGGGGACTATATAATTGCACAGAAATTTCGTATATGCGTTTGTTGTTGTTTTTCTGTTAAACAGCTGTTCTTTATTATATAAATGTACATAAATATTCCGCGCTACGTAAGACAAGTAATAATAATCATAATAACTTCGTGTCCAGCTAAACGCTTCTTGTTCCAATATTTCCTATAAAATATAAGTTAAACATGTGTTTAAAGATTAACAGGACGAAAATCCTTTTTTTTCAATAAAAGTTAGATCCTAGTACCACCTACCTCCACTGAAGTAAAGAGAGCACAGGGAGCCTACTCCTGATCCTAGCAACGTAATCTGACGAGCTATCACATTTGAATCACAGAAAACATCCACTGTCCGTTGGTCGATGAAAACAATTTTCTTGCAGTCAATCAGCACGTTTTGGGAACCATTCAACAGCATTGTTACATTATTTCTTAGCTCTGTTGAAAATTATTTAAACATCAAATTTCCACAGTATGTTAATTTTATATATTAATATTTTTTAATAATCAGTAATTCGTGTGATTATTGTAGTTTTGCCATTATTTTAAAAGCTCTTAAAATGGCTGTTTTGCTGCACTGGGAATGGATTATGGGTTGTAGGTAATCTTTACCTTATTTCCTTCCCTAACAAAGGCAAATGTAGACACAGCTCTGACCAGCATTTATAAACAAAGACACAGCTCTGACTAACATAGGTCAACGAAGACAAAGCTCTGACTAACAAAGGAAAACGTACACAGCTCTGTCTAGCATAGATAAACAAAAACACCTCTCTGACCAACATAGAGGAACGTGGACTCATCTCTGACTAGGATAGATAAACAAACACATATCACTGACTAACATAGAAAAACTTAGGCACAGCTCTGACTAGCCTAGACAAACAAAGACACAACTCTGACTTAAATAGGAAAACGTAGACATAGTTCTACTAGCAAACGAAAAACGTAGGCTCAACTCTGTCTAACAAACGAAAAACGTAGGCACAACTCTGTCTAGCAAAGGAAAACTTCGGCACAGCTCTGACTAGCAAAAGGAAACGTGGGCCCATCTCTGACTAGTAAAGTAAAAAGTAGACACAGCTCTGAATAGCATATGCAAACGTAGACAAAGCTCTGACTAGCAAAGAAAACCAAAGACACAGCTCTGACTAACATAGGAAAACCAAACGTAAACACAGGCAAAACTAACATAGCCCGACGTAGACAAGTTCAGTTTGCGTTAAGATGAAAACTCTCTAACCAGGCCGTTTAACACTGAATCTGATCCACGTCATCGTGACGTTCGTGTCAAAGTTCACGGTGACATTGGTTGTGGTGCCATTCAAACACGTGCCGTCGTCCCGATCTTTGAGAACTGTTGTGTTTGATGGCGTCGTAGTGGTGCCATCAGTTGATAGAAGATCACCTGGGACAAAACATTTAAAGACCATCGTTATGTGTGTACGCACGTCTCTATATCCTCAAATTGGCTACCTACATCATCATGCGTAACTTGCGTATCTGGAACATATTCATATCGAATTTAAATGTGTATTAATTTAACTTTTAAAATTTATTTTTAAGTATTGACATGCAGTAGTATATATTATCATGCATTTAATACACATAACTTAAAGTTAAGAAGAAAACTTGAGATGTTTTATAGGAGATGATATTTTCTATCCATGACGTGAATATTAATTAAAGGTCACTTTTAAGTAGATACGCCATTTATTTTTATAAATACTCGTAAGAATGATACAAATTTGATATTTGACGCATTCATGAATAAACCGGAACAGGCGATGGCTTTGGTGGTTTTACCCTCTTAAGGCATCAAGCTGTAACATATGAATTTTGAGAGCAGTTGGAGATAATCATCTTTTAAGGACATCTCTCTTTTGTAAGAGCAGACACGTGACTCAACGGGCGTTTCGTAACCGTGCTTCCCCCCGCGTAGGGCCACAACGCAATAGGTCCATCTTTTGACTCACATGTGTCGGTGAATCGCCAACGCAACACAAACAACCCTCACCATTTCATTAAAGCTTTTTGCATCCCTCAACAGCTTACTTGGACCATTTGGCTCTCCTTTTCCATGGAGTCTCCATGGAGTTTCCATGTCTTAAAAAAACGTTTCTACCACCCTGCACAATCTGAGAAACGCATCCATCAAAAAGAAAGAAAATTCGCACCGTCCTTCACAATTACGTGACACCCCAACACGTATGGAAAACAACGTCACCCTACTACAATTAATATATTTTGTTATGAGTGTAGCTTTTTCTGAGATTCACGTACTGATATAAGTTTTTTCTTTTTTTACCTTACTATAACTACGACCCCCTGGCCGACTGTTGGTACGGCTCGCACAGCACCAGCAATCGGACTTTCTTTGAACTGGTATGGATATATTTTAACGTGCCTAAAAACAACTCTTCCCATCAGGGTGTGCCGACAGACGCCACCTAATAGGGATCTCTACAGGTGGTTTCTCTTTTGTGGTAATGTCACATCGTAGCTTGGGCGAAACGGTTGCCTATGAGCAGTCCCCTCACAAGCTGTATAACAGAATCATTGGCTGTCACAACTCGCCCGTCCCTCAAATCCATTAACGGCAATTTGTAATCATGACCCCGAACTGTTTTTCCACGCGTTATGTTAAACTGCACTGGGGAGTTACCATGCAGGTGTGCTCATCCTAACACAGAAAACATGCAAGAACTTTGTCTCTCAAGCGAGGGTCCCCTACATGGTGGTATTATGCCCGGGCCAACGCCAATGGGTCGTTGGCAGCGCCTCAATAGACATGCCATGATGGGAATATCCTACCGACATGCCGACTAGAGCCCTGTGGGGTTAAAGGATATCTAAATGATTCACTCATGACCATTGTAAATGAATCTCAACTTATGGGAAACAACTGCTTTTTGTCGTAGAAGCTGACGTGTGCAGACCCCAGGACACGTGAGTCCTATAATACAGGAGGGTCAGGGTCTCCAGGCAAAACAATGACTATTAGGCTGCCTGCTTACTAATAGTTGAATATTGCCCTGGTAATCTTCGCATACGTAGGACCGACTACACATATGAAGGGTTCAAGGGAAAAACCAGTGATGTCAGTTTTTAAAAATGTCTATGTTATCTCACCTTGTGGCTATATTCCATTTAAAAGAATAATATGATACATAGGTCCAACTGAAAAAGCAGCGTAGTCAATAAATAAATACGTAGACATCTACATATTTTCATACTTTTATGAGGAATTTTCAAACGTTAAATTCAATTTTCTCCAAACTCTCAAAACCTGACATCACTGGTTTTTCTCTTGAGCCCTTCAAATGTGTTATCAGGGGTCGTTATAAGATTAGAGAAATTTAGTCAGTCATAAAAAATACACGTAACAAAAGACGGAAAAATCATTCTTTAAGAACCAACAGCAACAAAGCTAGTGTAAATTTAAAAAAAAAAAAAGAGCTATTATCCTCTACAGAGAATACAATAGTTAGTTGCATAGAGGAACAACAATTTTTGGTGATAAACTTTAAAGTAATGGTTACAATTGCGCCAATGGATGCAACAATGTTGATGCATAATTAACCCGAAGAAACGCAAACACACGAACTATAACAAAGACGTCATACGTAAATACAAACACGCCAATAAATATGCCGCAAACTAATTCAAAAATATGTTTGTATTGTTTGTTTATTCACCAATCACCATGAACTAAATATTTTAATAGCATTTATTTGTGGTTAATCACTTACGGTATTGGCAGGCCGGGCCGAACCATCCACTGACACATCTGGAGCTGTTCTGACATTCACCACTGCTGTCACAGTTGTTAGTGGTGCAGTGACATTGGTACTGACAGTCAGTGCCGAACCAGCCGGTGCTGCAAGCTAAATTAACATGTTTGTTAAACTATATCTATTGAGAGCTACGTGCTGTTTTTACAATAAAAATAAGGTCATTTTATCTTGGAATTAATTCATGCAATTATGTTTAAAAAAATATTTTTTAATAAGATGTTGATTTACTGTACCTGAGTGCACTCCAAATGTAGAAAGTAGATTTATTAGTACAACTATGATTAAGGTAATAGACATAGTGGACGCTCTGCTGCAAACGTGATTCTGAAAATACATCAAATTAAACGGTTGAGGTAAATGATATAAATTTAAATTTTGCAGTTCAATTATTGAACTTCGCGGACTTGAATTTTATTTAAAAAAGAGATTGAACAATTTTAAAATGTATTTCTCAAAACGATTTCATTACATTCCGCATTTTCTGGCATACAAGACGACTGGGTGTATAAGACAACCCCTCTTGTTCCTGTTAAAATCTAGGCTTTGGGCTGTACACCAGCTCATAAGACGACACTCAGCGTATAAGACGAATCCACGACTTTTGAAAAGATTTTTATATGTTAAAAAGTCGACTTATTCGACGGAAAATACGGTATATTAAGATTTAAAATCTTCAGGCATTTCTTTCCATTTAAATGTGTGGCGCTCCTTACCGTAACGGTATTAACACATAGTACAAGTTTCATTTAACGAAAGTAAAAACAATACAATCTTAGTTTTTACCGGTAGATCAAAGAATTGTCTTGGGTAAGACCGCATCGATTATTGTGTTGTGTTTTTCTACCTCCGGGCCAATAGCGTATGGGTTGAGTGTCTAAAATTAGCGCAGGATGTAAAGAGGGCTTTTTTTATATACATAACAATGAAATGAAATGATTTGAAATTTGAAGTCGCCTGCATTGGATTGGTACACGTGTTCATTACTGAATACCTACGCACATTGTTTTTTTACAACTGGGAATAACAAATCATGAAGAGTGAATACCGACCGCGAGAATCGTCCTTCAATATCACATACTGTACCACGCGTTCGTGTTAAAAATACTTACCGTAATTTTGCGCATATTATACACACCTAATAATTATAAGACAAACCCATATCTAAGACACGGGTTGTGAAGATTTGAGTAAAGCATATTTTATATTAGAAGCATCCGTATATAGGACACACCTTATATAAGAGGCACCCTGGTTGCGGGGTAAGTAAAACTTTGAAGAAGACGTGACTTTCCCCCTTACCTTCCTGGTACTTTTACTTTCCCACTTTTAGCTCTCATAAAATGAACATAACGTGTCTTATTATAAACCAGGATAAAACCGAACATTGGCTTTAACAGCTTGAAAGATTCAATTGATAGGTCGAGTCAGTGGGACGAGGGTTATTCAACCGTGCTAAAGGTTCATTTACAGTAACGTCAGACAAATTCGAGCCTAAATGCGACAAAGTTGGTAAATCCGGGCTACCGGCGCCATTGAGTTGGGGGAGGAAGTGAGAACAAAAGCCTATAGAAACATGCGGTTCAATCTTGATTCAAAAGTTAGCATAACTTTTTTTTTTAAACATGAATCAACATGTTTGCTGTACTCGGACTAGATGTACATTACCATATTTAAAGTATTTTATAATATTTTTTTTATATTGATCGAAACATATAAATCATATTTTAATTCTGATTTAAAAAAAAAAAATAAGTTTCAAGAATATCTTTTTTAAATTTTCTGTTTCAAATGGGTAATTTGTAAAACTAATTAAAGTATTTTATAATATTTTTTTTATATTGATAGAAACATATAAATCATATTTTAATTCTGATTTAAAAAAAAAAAAATAAGTTTCAAGAATATCTTTTTTAAATTTTCTGTTTCAAATGGGTAATTTGTAAAACTAGACAAATAGGAAACAAACATGTAAGAAACAATATAATAAGCCATCAGAAATCAGTTTAAATGATTATTATCAATATAAGAAGAACTCAACCCATGTTAACTGCAAAACTTAATTAAATAGATTAAATAATATTCATAAACATGTTTTAAATAATGAATAAAACGTTTGTTTTAATATTGTAGCTTGAAAATAGTAATCAATGGGTTATTCTCTGAAACAAACACCATTTGCTTACTAAACTGCATTTTTAAAAAGATCAAATTGATGGCAATTTTTCTTATTATCACATACGGCTTCCTCTAAATGGTTTAACGTTATGACTAAGCAAATACAGTAATAATTGTAAAGACCTACTTACAAAGTTACTCCAGGGAACTGCCAACTTAAAGTTGTTTTAACTAACTAGCCAATCTGCTCTTCCTATTATAATGTTGAGCGTGAATGTGTGAAATGAGGAAATACCAAACAGAAACTACTTCCTGACAGAGCCAAAGAGCTGTTCCTTGCAGAGTCAATGGCTTTATATTTGATTTATAGGCGGGGAATTTGCTACCGTTAGTTTTGGAGCATACATCATTAAACGGCTAACATAAGGTTAACACGTAAATAAATATCAATACTGTTTTGAACAAGACC